CACACATAGTTCAGTAACCATGCATCCGTGTATATGGGTTAATAAAATATACGGCAAAAGCCTGAATACTGGGTTGCGGACAAGCAAAGGAATACAAGCTTCTTTCACATAAATATTCTCCATAAATGTCTTACACACGTATATTAACACACCCCTACCACTGACTGACTGAGTTTGGTTTTACGCCGCTTTTAGCAATATTCCAGCAAGGGGACACCAGAAATGGGCTTCACACATTGTACCCATGTGGGGATTCGAACCCGGGACTTCAGCGTGACGAGCCAACGCTTTAACCACTAGGCTACCCCACCACCCACACCCCTACCAAACCACTTCCTCATATATGGTTGCTGCAAGGCGCGATGTGCTGGTCATCAGATCCCAAACTTGCCCTGATGATGACGGAAGGTTGCCAGCATCATGTTCACTCTCGTGGGTTGGACCAAAAGCTGAAAATGTTAGTGGATGATGTCACTTTGTGCTGGCATCCACATCAAAGGGAGACTACTCTTCATAGTGACCATTTCCAGAATAATTCAACCAGTTTAACATTCTCCCCTTATGTTGATCTACTGTATTTTTATGGATCAAATATTTCATGTTTCAGAAACAAGAGCATCCAGGTGAGGTTTTAGCCCATCATTAGTTTCCAGGTGCAAAATATGCATGTATATGTATATATATAAAAACAAAAATTAATGTGAAGTCTTTTTAACAATATACGTTCTGTTGGAAATGAACTTGTTAATTGAGCATAAATCTCACATGGACTGTCTTTGAATTGATTGTATTTGTTCTTAGAACAATCTTACTTAAACTTCAGTTTAATTAGAACTAATTATTTTTCCTTATCCTGACTCATGCTATTTTGCTTGGTGGCTTCTTCTTGCGAACACAACTTCCTAGCCTACAACAAACCACAAGCAACCTCCAGTTTAATGAATTCATTAATAATCTAACACAATTATTGCATTGTTAGAGATAAAACCAATATATTAATGACTATTACAGATACAAAATCGGTCTGTAAGATTGCACAAGCCCAAGGATATTCCAAATGCAACAAGTGAAAAGTCAACATATATAAATAAATTCAACAAAAATAAACAAAACAGATCATAATGCAAATAACATTGCAAAACATTCACAAAACACGAATAAATATTAAAGCTATAAAGCTATGTTCAAAGCAATTGTTCCTAGTTCATGTTGATAGTTCATACACTGGGTCAACAAATGTTTATACAATGTAATACTAAACACACCAGGGCAGTATCACTGCATAACTATCACCCACAGGACTAAACAAATGTCAGTTCAAAGGTCACTGCCATCATTTATGTGCATTTAATTATTGTGCGCTGATGACTTTGTTACAATTGTTCAAATAAAGCATTGTCAGAAACAAAGAAAATGGTCTGGGACAAAATAACTACAGATCAAGTATGAATATTTACTCAAAATCACTCAAACTAATTTAGCCTTCTGAAACTTAATGGTCTGTTCAAAACAGGATCAACTAGTGAGTGACTTGTAATGTTACACAGCATCGGCAATATTGCAGCCATATAGCGATGAAACAGGATCATCTAAACAAAATGTCACTAACTTAGTAAATAATTGAATATTAGTTGGCAAATCATTGAAAGAATTTACTGTGAGTGTGTAATGTGTCATTCCATATGTCCACTTTTGTACTTCACCTGTTATTTAGACGATGTAAACAGCTGGTTAAATCATACAAACATCTGCTTGCAGATTCTATGTCAGTTTGCGATGTCATTGTTATCTTGTACCAGTACAAAATTCTCATTTGGCATCACTGGCTAGATTCAGTTTTACATACTATTCACTGGACATAGACAATATTTCACCGCAAAGTTATATCAAAACATTACAGCCTAATTACTTCAACAGCATATCCCAACCTCTCCTGGTAAAGCATAATCAAATGTCATCATCTTCATTCGAATACAATGAGCACAGACTGGCCATGGTCCTTTTATTTCTGACACTGCTGTAAATATTCTAACAGAATAACATTTGGAGAGTGATGAGCCTATGGTTGAACCGTAAGGTTCCTTAACCCATGCTCAGGAAATAATCACTTTCTTTCTATTTCCAACATTGTTTCATGGAACACACCATACAACTAAGATACTGCTTATGATTATGACACTGAGATTGACACACTTCTCAATAATGCTAGTTTTACAGTGTATGGAGTGGCATGTAGACCATCGTTTGTCCTTATGTATGTTACTAAACAGAAAGAAAGTACCAATTGATTCTTTCATATTAAAACAAATACTCTCTGTCATTGTAATTACATATAAACTATAGTAATATTAGAGGATGGGCTGGTCCTTAATGGTTTTTTACATGTGTGGTAGCACACAAACCATTTTGTTATGTTCCATAAAACCTTTTCTTCACAACCACCAACATGTTTCACATGAAACCACATATATCACCACGTTTTATCAATTCATAGTCAACATTTTAACAGTTAATTGGTTTCATCTAATTTAATCCTATAAAATGTAACCTCAAAACTTCCTGTTATTTGTGGAGAGTGGACATCACATCTAATGAATGGTGGTGATGACTGGCTCCTCCCAATAGAGGACCAGCCTTATCTAATGAAAATACAGAAGTGGGCAACAATATAGCATGTGTTGCTTTCTTCAACAGAAACCAGTATACCTGTGTCTATTACAAAAGGACCATCCTTCTGTGTGATTGCACAAGCCCAAGGATATACCCAGTCTGACAAGAGTACTCTATCTCGTAAGAAACATACTACTCAAAGTTAAAGAACATCCAGTATTTCCATGTGACTGTAGTTAATCTGTCATGATGGTAGGTATTGCAACACACGGCCTTCCACAAGTGGTTGGAATTGGTCTTCAGCAAACCATGCTTGTCGTAAGAGGCGACTAATAGGATTGAGTGGTCAGGTTCACTGACTTGGTTGACACGTCATCGTATCTCAGTTTCGTAGATCGATGCTCATGCTGTTGATCACTGGATTGTCAGGTTCAAACTTGATTATTTAAAGCCTGCCGCCATATAGCTGGAATACTGCTGAGTGCGACGTTAAACAACCAACCTACCACTTGTAGTGCTGTCTAACTTGTTTTGAGTAGTACATAATGACACTGTGTCCTTTGTGCTTGTGGAAAAAGGTGTAGGTACGTTTATCAAGATTGTCAAATATGACATAGTGTACAAAGCTATTCAGTGAGTGAGTGAGTTTAGTTTTACACCGCTTTTAGCAATATTCCAGAAATGGGCTTCACACATTGTACCCATGTGGTTAATGGAACCCAGGTCTTCAGCGTGATTAGTGAACACTTTAACCACTAGGTTACCCCATTGCCCCTCCAAAGCTATTCATGTTGAGTGTGGTACACTTAAAATGTATAATAAAACAAAGGAGTAATTACACATGAGACTTCTTTTGGGCATAAATACCTTGCTATAAACACAACAGTTACTGTGTATGACATTCACACTCATCCAAATATATACACAATGTTAAACAGAGTGCCCTTGGCACCTGGAAACAAACAAACATATGGTGTTGATTCATGTCTATATACAGTCAGGTCTTGTATAACGCTCGTATATACCAATATTTACAGTTTGTATTGCACCTCACATAGTGACTCATGTGTAAAAATAACGTCAGATAAATCTGATGGTAGGTGTAAATGGGAACACAGCTAGGTGTTGAATACATTGCGATACATTGTGTATATATGTACAAAAATCAGAGGTTTTCAGATGATATTGGTGTTTACCAACCAATATGTTGGTATATGTACTGCTAAACAAACTGTTTTACTTATAGTATATAAGCAGGAATAATTTTCACTCAATACGTAGGCTTCCTGTGGAATAAGTAAAATGTTTTAGGAACACCGTTCCAATAGAATCTTTCATGCAAACTATTCCACTTTGACTTCTTTGAGTGGCATGTTTAGAAGTTGGTGAATCAGATAAGAACAAATTTTATGGATGAACAACTTCTTTATTGGGAAGATGCGACGTTTCGATACAGATTCTTGTATCATTGTCAAGGAAGTATCGAAAGGATAGGCATAATCTGTATCGAAACGTTGCATCATCCGAATAAAGAACTTGTTCATCCATAAAGTTTGTCCTTACCTATTCCAGTTTGATTTTTAATTATTTTTTTCTGTGTCAAAACTCAGATTTCAATATATATTTGGAACAAAGTTGAGCTAATCCTTAATCACAGTCAACAACAATACTTTATGAATGTCTATACACTATGTTCTTCCATCAACCTTGGAAACATACGCCTGTGAAAATATTGGCATGGATGTGGAACAGGTGCCCTGGCCTGGTCTGACTGCTCTGAACAGTGCTTTAATGATGAGGCAATGGTAGGGTTCACATTATGTTCATGTATGGAGTTTGGTTCACTTGGCCTTCAAGCAGAAGATGCACAGTAACCGTTTCAGGAATTTGTTTTAGCTTACTATGTCCGGAAACAGAATTTGAACAAAATTTGACAATGTTTTCAACAAATCATATTGCAGAATACACTCCCATCTGTTTTACAGTGTGTTATAAATCAATATTTTTAATTGGCTTACAAATATACCGGGATAAGAATGGGTATAAGTGAAAAAAGTGGATAATGAGCCGAGGCTCTTTCCCTCAGATTTATATGATTCACAAGAATGACCTCAGTGTAATCAAATCCGCGGAAAATTCTCATCCCTGCTTATATAGACTTGTCAGTACTATATAGCTAAGAGATAGATTCATGCATGATGGAAGAACATGGTGGATATAGTCCTGATGATAAACAAAAATATAAGTCAGCAGGCACATCATTACTGTCACCATGGTTACCAAATATTAATGTATAGGCCAGACCAAGTTATTTTCTTCAAGTCCCTACTAAATTATCCTGACTTTTACAGAATAATATGGTTTTTAAACATACCTCATTTTCTTTTTTAAACTTCAGTCAAAGTCAATGATAAAATGTACTGACTTAAACCAACACATTTCACATGTATTTTACCAAGAAATTCTGTGAAACAAAAATAAAGGAATGCCCTTGGCCCAGTACTCATGCACCCAATTATCACTGAATAACACAAGAGGAGGACTTCTTGATTTCTCTTTCATGAAGCAAGTCATCATTTTCACCCCCTGTCTCGAATCCCTCCTCTTCAAAGTCGTACCTGTCGAAGTCATCAGTGGGCAGAGGGTTGTACTCTCTGGGCAGTGCGGAACACTTGTTGTAGGCTCTCGTGGCCAGCTTGGCTTTCACGGTATCGGGCAGACTGGCGATGTGAGAGGCTATTGTGGCCGACTTGCTGATCACCTTGTTGATCTTTGCATCAGGAAGTGAGCGTCGGCGTGGAGTGGTGGAACTTGGAAGTGCAGCGAGCTTGTGGGTGAGCTGGCCAGGGCGGTGATGGGTGTGCGTACAGTTGAGGAGGTAGCCGATGATGGGGATCGGCATTGAAACTGCAAATGGGTCCGGTTCTGGAGTAGTAAAATCCTGCAGGAAAGAGTGGTTGAGTTTAAAGCCAATATGAACAGTACTGGGTCCCGATCCTCAAAGCTTACATTCATAACCCTATGATAAACATAGAGTTACAACAGGTCGTAACATTATAACAGGTCCTATTGCAGTGAAACAATTCCTCTCAGATTAAAAAACACAAATAAACCATGTGATTCAGAATGTAATTTCACACTGACAATTTCATTCCATCCAAGGATCAACAAGTACAATTCCATTTTTGTTTGTTATTTAACACAGCTGTCCGATATATTCCAGCTATATGACAGCTGTTGGTCAGTAATTAAGTCAGGTCCTGACAATCCAGTAAATAACATAATAAGCATCACTGCAAACATTGACATGCAATTACAGTTTGTGAGTCTGACCACACATTCTGACGCGCAATGATTGCTGAAGACATTCTGACAGGCAATATGATTGCTGAAGACTAAAGAAGCGAAACGTAACCTTAATCTTTAACGGTGTTCGACATTACAGAGCACACAAACTAACCTGGAGTAACTGGTAGTCCAACAAAGCTTCCATGAGATGCTGACCTCGGCGATCTTTGAAGGCCAAGGGAGACCGTCCTTCCTATGAAAACAAGAAGACAAAGTCATCAATATCCCCCGCAATGGCAAAATACTCTTCATGATTATGTCTACGAGTTATGATTATGTCAAATATTTAGGTGTGTATATAGAAAAGTGGAAGGAGAGTATTGAAAGGTTCCTGCGATACAGTGGATGTAGGGATAAAAGTTCTGCTCCAGAAAGGAGCACTATCACCAATCTTTTCAGTCATTTTTGTCGAACTTGTTGCCATGGAAATGCCAAAAATATTTTATTCAGAATTCCAAAACTACCAAAAGGCACCAGTACACCACCAGATCTATCTATGCCATTTCAATGCCCAAAAAAAGGGCCTTGCTGGTCGTACCGCGGGTCCAACCTTATTGCATCGCATACAGGCTGCCAAGACAGCGATGGGCAAATTTAGTGTACGACGTGAAAGGAGAAAGTCTTCAAAAATATTGAACGGTTTTAGAGTTCTGCTCTGGAAAAGACAAATGTGCACGGATGGACGGACGGATGGAGTCCAATTTAATACCCCCCCGCAAAACGCATCGTTGAGGGGGATAAAAACAGCACTGCTAAGTATATACTACAGGGCTAAACACTTGCAAGTTCACACAATAAGATGCAAAGTAAGAATCATGGTATGTTCATATCATGCTATTAGTATCTCGGTATGTATCGACATATATAGGTTGGTGAATCATAACACCCCACTGGGTGTCCCTGCAACACGCTACCTTGTCCATGGTGAACTCTGACGCTCCGTAGTCCAGCAGCAAGTCCACCAGTTCCTTGCCATTCTCCATGGCGTATGCATAGTGTAGAGCTGTTCTGAAAGACTGCATGAAACACGACCATTAGTTTTCAGGAAAGCGAATGTGTGAAAAAGAAATCATCATAAAAATAGATTCAGTTTTCTTGAAACTCAACCACATTTTACTTTTTACATATGATCTAATACTGCTGGTAAAAACGGGAAACATAAAAAGTATTGTCTAACCTGATCTCTAATGGAGTCCAGTCTTGTCTTCTTCTCATATACTAGTGTTTCTGCTAGTAATTCCACTATCTCGTAGCAGCCTCGCAGTACAGCCTTGTGGAGCGGAGGTTGTCCCTCACCCTGTAACCATGGCAACACATCGACAGGAGAAGGGTGAAAGATTTCAATGTATGATATGAACAAACCCACAGTTCAGTTTGTGTCTAAATGTCTATGGGTTGAAGAATAGGAATAGATATTTAGCAAAATGACCCAGTGCTGGGGAACTTACATGTGTGCGTGAGTCTGCTAGGCAGCACTCAAACTCGGGGTTGTAGTCTGGTGATGAGAAGTACATCAACATGCGAACAGCGTCCACGTCACAGTCCTCCACCGACTCATGGAACTGTACAATCCGGTGCTGTGGAGGAGACAGAAGTTGCAGATGAGAGCCAAGCCTGACACAACTCAAAGGAACCAACAATATTAGTTTGTTATCTTCGAAGTTCATTATATACAGTTCTTGAAAGGCATTTAGAAGTTGGATGAACATGAATACATGACATGTTTTATGGATAATAACTCTTTATATTTCTTTATATGTTTCAGATAAAGGAGCAAGAATTAGCTCTGAAACATTGTATAAAGAATAAAAAGAGGTTGTTATCCATGAAACATGTCATGTATTCATTTTATTACTCGCCTGTGGATGATACTGCAGTGTAATTTCTATACACTAGCAGAGGCCCAGATAAGCTGCGTATCCGGGTAAAATATGCATAGAAAATTTCCACCACGCATTGAAAATAATTCTTAAGTGCACTCACCACGATTTAAAATGTTAGATGCATAAAAGTTTAAAACAAATCCGCACGGAATATACTTATAAAAATCGCTTGCGTTATGAAAAAGACATCGATTGCTATCAAGTTGTACTGTTAGTATAGGACAAGTGTTGTACTGTCAGTATAGGATGAGTGATTTTTTATGAAATCATTTCCATTATATTTAAGTTGGTTTTGATTAGGTATGACATAAGGCAGAACATACCTGCTTAGTAAACTTACTCAATGACATAATACTTAGGTGAGTAAAATGACTGAAATACGCACATATTTGAAAGCAGTGGGTAATGGAAAATGAAATACCCACTCAACATTCATAATACCCACTCCAAACAAATACAGTGGGTACAGTACCCACATGAGCTAAATCTTATCTGGAGCTCTGCACTAGTGTAATACCGCTAGACGTATGACGTCATAAAGGTATACAGTTATGACATCACAATGCTAATACCTCTGTCACAATGGTATTAGACCTTGCTTGACTCGAGGAAAGCTGAGAGTCATCACACTACGTAGGCAGTTTCTATCAGTTTATGTTGGAGAGTAATAAACAGAATACTAAATTGCTTCCGACAAATACCATTTTTATTAAATTCGTGAAAGACTTAGCATCAAACTCGCTTAACCAAATCATAAACTCATTTAATAAAAATGGTATTCCACGGAAGGTCGTTTAGTATCCTCTATATACGCATTTTGACTAAATTATGCAGCAAGTAGTCAGGATCAAAAACTGTTCATTACATCTGTCAATTCGTAACAAGGATGTTTGACATAAACATAATTCACCTCGATGTGACACACCTTATAGAAAAATGGAGCATTCTAGCCAGGGAAACTGATGTTTACTCCAGCAGCTGCTGTGATACCAGCTAGCTGCTGTGATACTGTAGAGTATAGACTGACTCTGAGAAAAAACACTGGACTCGGACGTGCAAAAGTGTTTTTGAGGATTGGTTGGTTTGTTGGTTGGTTTGTTGCAACACTCAGCAATTTTCCAGCTTTAATACAGCGGTCTGTAAATAATCGAGTCTGGACCAGACAATCCAGTGATCAACAGCATGATCATCTATCCATGTAATTGGGATACAATGACGTGTCTCAGCCAAGTCAATGAGTCTGACCACCCGATCCCGTTAGTCGCCTCTTATAACAAGCATGGGTTAGACCAATTCTAAAACGGATTTTCACGAGTGTTGAGGAAACATCTATTGCATTGTGGTCCCACCTGGTATATTGGAAGTATTCTGAAGAAGCTGTCGCCAGGGGATTCTTCTGATTCTGTATGGGAAAGATCCTGAAAGGGAATAAAAACAAATACTTCAGTAACTTCTACAGACATGGCAAGTACAGTTTGTGTGTTGCATTATGCCACACTCAGATATAATCCAGGTATATAATGGCCTGTAGATAATCAAGTCTAGACCAGACACAACAACCGTAACAATCGATATCAAGGGGGTGCACCGACATGCAATCAGCCAGTTACTGAGACACTTCATAGTTGTATTATCCTGTATATATGTTATGCGCTTAGAGCATGTCCCTGGGTGATGTGGATGAGGCGCTATAAAAGTACTCTTATTATTATTATTATTATCTCAAGACACCAATTCAGAATGCCAAATATTTCACCAGCAACAGAATTTTTTTAATGTATTTTTTTATATATTCCATTTCAAGTCTCACATAAAATACATATGGCAAAGAGGACAACATCCAAATATATATGTATATAGCTTCAGTGATGTTTTGCAAGGTTATATATGACATAAAAACAGTATTGCATACATATACACAGGGGTGCACACACATATACATACTATACACATTCATAGTTGTATATCTCAATATAGCATACATATGGCAACATACCACCAGCAACAGAATTAGTGACCCACCTTCACAGCCATGGGCAGGTATTCGTAACCATGGAGAGCCAGGATCTTCCTGTTGGGACCGTTTTCATGAAATATCCATCGCAGAACAAGCTGAAAATTGAGGAAAGTGTTCCTTAGGGTACAAAATGTCTATAAATACCGTAAATACTGAGACTTTATCAAACAGTTGTTCCATCCACATCCTGGTTTCCCATAGTCACAAGTCCCCGCCGCGATATTGCTGGAATATTGCACATACAGTGGAAACCGCCTAAGTAAAGACCGCTTAACTAAACAGACCTGATAAGTAAACACTTTTCTTTGGTCCCGGCAAATTTCTTCATTAATTATCACTATTAGAGTCCGGTTAACTAAACTCGGATAAGTAAACAATACCGCTTAAGTAAACGTCTTCTCACGGTCCATGGAAGTTAATTACTTAACAAAAGAGACTGGATAACTAAATTAGCGATCACCACATAATCCGATATGAGGGGCAGTCGTGTCAGTCTCCAGTCAAACAAACATCCTACTTACAGCTCGCTGGCGTCAAGCAGTTGACAGTACACTGCCAGCCCTGATAAGTTGTTCATTGTTACATATGCATACATATACATGCTGTGGTTGTCATTTACAGGTTTTTATAAGTTTGGATAAGTAAAATACCTGACAAGTAAACAATTTTGGCGAGTCCCTTGAAATTTTACATATCAGGTTTCCACTGTAGTCACAAGGACATATTTACATGATGCAGTTCTACATACTTTCTACTGTGGTGCTACATATCCTACCAAAGTTAATGTGAGAAGACTTGCAAATATATTTGTTCAACAGTCTGAAACATATCTATTTCAATATACTTTCCTCCATAGAAACCAAAGATTGTTGGGCTTTTCGAGTTAAAACTCTCCTCTTTGAATATGGATTTGGGTCGGTGTGGACCGATCAACGGGTAAACAGTATCCCTTCCTTTCTTCAATCGTTCAAGCAGAGGTGTGCTGATATTGATAACCAGCGGTGGTTCGAAAGTTTAAATCAGTGCTCTAAATTATCTATATCACGGTCAGTTAAATCTGCTGTGGTTTTAGAAAGTTATCTATCTAGTATATCAGTGAAAATCTATCGCTCTGCACTTTGTTTTCTTAGATGTTCTAACCACTGCTTAATGATTGAAATGGGGTGGAAACTGGGGTTAAAGAGAGAGGAACGCCTATGTCCGCTATGTACTGTTCCAGCTGTAGAAACAGAATTACATTTTGTTCTACAGTGCCCATTTTATAACGAATTAAGACAATCATTATTACCAAGATATTATTGGCAATTTCCATCAGAACATAAGCTATATTCACTTTTAACATCAGATAATGTATGTACATTGAATGTCTAGGGAAATATGTATTCCTTGCAATGAAAAATCGTAAATCGTTTCTGTCATCAACTCAACCATGATTATTATAATACCACCTGCCGACTGTGCGGCTCCAATCAACATTTATTATCTTTTGTAAATGCACTGTATAATGGGCCTGTGGCCCCTCTACTGCAATAAAGTCATTCATTCATTCATAGAAACCAAAGCCCCTGCAGAATATCCAGTGTTCAATCCCCATTAAACACAAACCAACCTTATCCATGACCTCTGCAATGGCGTCACAGGACATCTGGTAGGCGTATTGTCTTGGTGTGATGTTGTCCTGCAAGTATACATCGATTAGGTATGACATGAGTGAGTGGGGGTTAATGCTGATTTGAAAAGTTGAGGAGATCCCAAATTGGTGCAAATCTTTGAAGTCACCAACCAGTAAGATAAAACTGAGGATTCATACACATGACCAGAGATTTCTGGCTTGCAGATTTACACAGAAAGCTGTCTTAGGTGTCTGCCAACCATCTTCTTTGTGAAACCACAAGCAAGTGAGTGAGTGAGTGAGTGAGTGAGTGAGAGAGTGTCAAACCTAGAAATTGAAATGAATGAAACAATTACCAAAGTTGATGATGTGCCAAATGGAGGCAAATTTGCCACAGACAACTGGGCCACTCCTGCCCCTGATCCTGCCATTATTATCATAGAATTAGAGAATAATGAATGAGAGACTGTTGTTGAACACTTAAGCCAGGAATATTTCAGTTATATCATGGCGATCTGGGACAGGCCAACCAGTGGTTGATATTATGATAGTCACGATATGGCTGAAATATTGCCGATGTGACTTTAAATCTTAACTCACTCACTCACTGATATTATGAGCAGCTATGATGTACTATTACACACAAACAATCAGATCCTCTTATACAATGCAAAAGACAGCTGTTCTAACCACTGAGGGATGGTGGGGTGGCCTACTGGTAAAAGCTTTCGCTTGTCACACAGGTTTGATTCCCCACGTGGGTACAATGTGTAAAGCCCATTTCTGGTGTCTCCTGCCGTGATATTGCTGGAATATTGCTAAAAGCGGCGTAAAATTAAACTCACTCACTCACTCTAACCACTGAGGATCAGAACTTTGTACTGCCCCCTTTTGACACTAGTTGTATGTAAGGTGTGTCTGACTGACCTTGATCCTCTGTGTGACGAGGTACGCTGAGCCCTTCATGAGAATGCCTTCGACAACCTCCGGCCGCACGTCCATGTCGATACAGTGGAACAACACGTTCTTGCCCTGAAACAAGAAGCCAGTCTTTTATTTTCTCATACAGTTTACAGAGATATTCACCGTTCACTCTTTCATCGTAAAGATTGTGAAATAACTGTCTTCAGCCCATTACTGTAAATTATGCAAGTAATGTGTCACGAAATAACTGTGTTTGCCAACTTTCAGCCTGAAATATGTTATGAAATTATTGTGAGTACCCATATCCTCAAGCTTTGAAAACATTTTCTCCTTACTAAGCAAATGACAAAAACATAGTGTAGAGTGACATAGTAAACAGAGATGCCAACCCTATTTTGGGCCTAAGTGTAATACTGGAGGTCAAAAAGTGTAATTTGGACCTAAAAGTGTAATACTTGAAACACTTACTTAGTGAAAGATGATAACTTTATAAAAATTACTTTTAAAAAGGTTTATTCACATGAATAGGAAAGATTCTAGACAGAAATACACGTGACCAATCATTATGAAGTTCCATACATTGAAAATTGTTGGTCAGGTGACACAAAATACTTAAATTCCTTACATGTTAATTGAAATGAGAGCGATGCTAAGAGTAAGTGATTCCTATCGGTGTAAGGCCATTTCTGAACCCCTGCACCAGTGTGTTACGAAAAAATTTCCCTGTGAAAGTTTATCCACTTTATTGATTTTCGCAAAACGAGTAGAAAAGCGTAATTTTCACAGATTAAGTGTAATGGCGTAATTTAATGGTCAAAATCGTAATAATTATGCCCAAAGCGTAAGGGTTGGCATCTCTGTAGTAAAGCACTGATTACAATAAAACATGGCAAACAAACTCCAGGGCTGTTGAAATATAGTCTTTCTATGTGTAGTAGTTTATTGGTCACTTTGGATATACATGTTGTTCACAGTATGCCAAAGAAACTGTTGACCTCACTGTATGGCTACCATAGAGATTCTGTTTTTTTTAAAATGAGTTTTGATTTAATCAGCATGATTGTTATTGTCTGCAATATACATCTATCTGATGTACAGAATTTGGAAATATTTTCAGTGATTGGAGGAGAAATTTTCTGACATTCTTAGCAGTTATAGTGGCAATACATTTCACTCTATTGGCCACTGATGATAGTGATGACCACAAATTCCACATTACAACCTACTTTATAGAAGAGATTGTCTATATTGATGGGTCCTGTTGGTAAGATCTGTATCAACAGGCTGGGTGAGATCGGAGGGTCACAACCCAAGGCAGCAAAGTACAGTGGAATGTCCGTCTACAAGAGAATGGCATTAATAATATTGATATAACGACAAAGATGACATGATCAGGCAAACAATAATCTATAACATAGTATTAAAGCTGTCTGAGTTTTATTGATTATGAGAAGAATATCTCTTTTGTTGATGTCAACTTAAAACATTAATATCAACATTTTACTTATCATAAGTTTAACAGTGCCATTCCAATTCAGGAAGTTTTGCAAGTGGTGTATGAGTGAGTGAGTGAGGTGAGGTGAGGTGAAATTTGGTTTATCGTCGTGCTTGAGAATATTTCGCTCATATGACGACGTGCATGCGTGTGTATGTGTATGTGCGGCTGCTTGTACTAGCCCAGACTGAAGCTAGTTTTATAGTGCTAGCCCACTGAGATACCATGCCGCAGTGAAGCATGAATACCCCACTCAGACACATTATACTGACTCCGAGCCGACCAGTCCTTGTTGTACCCATTAATGCCGAGAGCCAGGCAGGGACCAACAAGTACCATATTTTAACGTCTTTTGGTATGACGCGGTCGGGGATGGAACCCACGACCTTCCGCTCTCCGGGCGGACGAAGGGAGTGTGAGTGAGTGTGTGAGTGAGTGAGTGAGTGAGTGAGTGAGTGAGTGAGTGAGTGAGTGAGTGAGTGAGTGAGTGAGTGAGTGAGTGAGTGAGTGAGTGAGTGAGTGGATGAGCATTGACCACTGGGTAACCCATCATCCTCACAGAGACTATACACATAGGTGTGGTGGTGTGTGCTCCTGTGCATTGAACACAGGTAACAAATCAGTTGAAGTTAAGCAACGTCGAGCACGGAAAGTCCTTGGATGGGTGACCGTGTGGCAGCTTGACTCCTGAGAGTTTCTACAACGTCAGTCCTGCCCCACAATGAAGCACACATATGGTCTCACCTTAGGCAAGTGAGTTTGTTCAAAATTGCCTCTGTTCACCCAGCAGAAATGGGTACCCGGTGGGATAAGTTAGGTGACTAATAACCTTCTAGTGCCTCACAGCTTGGGTTATCCAGGGTAAATATAATAACACTTTGAGCAAGATATTCATCCTGGAATGGCTATAAAAGTGGACTATTATTATTATTATTATATTATTAACAATACAGACACTGACCTCCTCATCGCCTCGCATGCCGAGGTCGACCCGAGCTCCGTGGTCCTGCAAGACTTGCACCATGTCGCTGTGGCCCTGGACCAGTGCATAGAGAAGGGGTGTGGCACCACGGTCGCCCTGGGTTACACAGAGCATGTCAGCATGACATCGATCATCACCATTATACATTCACACTTCACTGCTCTAACCTAAACACATAAACCTATTCAAAATATCTTCAACAACTGCACCATAAATCAATATTTCTTAAAAGGTCTATGAATTATTTATCATTCAAAAGCTACAAAACACTTTGCCACTCAATTTGGTAATGAAAATTTAAATAGCTGTGAAATGACTTCTACAATAGGCACTTTGAGAATCAAAAGAACGCAGCCATTGTCAATGCTTCATGGCTTGTATACACTGTGTTCCTTCATCACCTAAGTATACACACAGCTGCTTGCAGTGTAATACTGTCTATTTTAAGTCAGGTAATTTACTGAGGTCAAGTGACCCCTGATGGTCTGGGTTAGAATTGATCTTCAGTAACCCATGCTTGTTGTAAGAGGCGACTAATGGGATCGGGTGGTCAGGCTCGCTGACTTGGTTGACACATGTCATCGGTTCTTAATTGTGTAGATCGATGCTCATGCTGTTGATCACTGAGATTGTCTGGTCCAGACTTGATTATTTAGAACGCCTCTATATAGCTGGAGTATTGCTGAGTGCAGCGTAAAACTAAACTCACTCACTCACTGAGGCTAAGTACAGTGAGTGAGTGAGTTTAGTTTTACGCCGCTTTTATCAATATTCCAGCTATATCATCGCAGGGGACACCAGAAATGGGCTTGTGCAAACACTTCTGTTGTCTGATATTGAAGCAATGTGGACAGATCATGTTTTTTACCCACGTGGTCAACGTATGGGTAGTTGCATATTAATCTCGTACGTCACACGAGTGTCGTATCGCGTTGACCTGTGTCGTAATGACTTGACCTGAGATTCTAACGATTTGATTGGACGGAACTGCTTGTTCATTCATAACAAACACGTGAATTCATTCATTCTACAACTTATATGCATTGTGGTAAAGTAAACATTGTGAACATTGCAGTATCGCTGTTTACTGTGAGTCCAACTGAGACATTACATATGCGTCGAAAAACATAAAAGCAATGTTTCCACCACTGATGTTAGCCAAGTGAAGCAACTGCAAACTAAGAAATGGGGTGCTACGGAGTAGTTTACTGTAGGAGGCTGTACGAGGCGATGACAACTGACATGCATCGTGAAGTCAGTTACCAAAGGGACAGACGAGAATGGCATAGTCACGTCAATACAGTGTGACGTCATGCAAAAGTGACTACAGAACAAAATTCTTCCACAACTTCTTTATGAAACCGGTTTCGGTTTGAAACCATAACAATAACAAAAAATACGCTATTTTGTCAATTTAATGCATGTAAGATGTGGGTAATAAATAAAATACCACACTCGGTCTCATAACATACGAATTATATAAAACTTGTGACCTTCCTATGGTTTTCGCTCGGTCAGATACCATAGCAAGGACACTCGTTTCGTATAATTCGTATGTAATGAGACCTCATGGAGTATTCTCTATGTACAATAAATATTCCCAGTGTCATCTCAATGCTCATTGGACTTGGTGGTTGGTCTTGGTTGAACCAGTCTGTGGCTAGATTTGGTTGGTTAAAACAGGCAACTAATATATATTATACTGCATGGATGACACACATTTTCACAGGTGATCAAGGAACATAGTGTATTCAAACCTGTCCAGTACTGATGAAACAAAGAAATATGTCCCGTAATTTCACGTCCTGGGACAGAAAAATTCACCTACAATTCTAATGCCACAGTTAGCACAGTGAGAGCTATACAACATTCATCTTTGCATCATTTTGAAAGTTACAGCATGAAAACAAGATTGTCATCAAGGAGCTTACAGGAGCTTTAGAGCTACTTAAACATATTAGAGAACCATGTCTCTAAGACTATACTGGAGTTACCGCCGTGATTAGAATTAGTCTTGTAATGAGAATAATCATTTATAATATTTACTAACAGTCCAACCACAATGAAAAGACCTGATTTAGCATACACATACATGATTTTATGTATTGTAATTCCAATGTGATATGATTGCTAATCTGTCTGATTTCGGACAGTTTACTTCTTAGAAATGTTTAACCAGTGATTAAGGTCATGACACTCACCATGTTTCTGAAGTTAAGGTTGATGTGTTTTTTCCTGGTAGACAGCAGCTTCTTCACCGTCAGAGTGTCCCCAGCCAGCACCCCATGGGCAAACTCCTGCATAGAGTCAGTGAGTGAGTTGGGTTTAATCCAACTTTACATTTCAGGTACAGTCAAACACCATTGTGTGGAAATTTGATCTGTCGAAGTTTATGGTTGTCTCAAAGGAAAAGCTTGGACCCTTTGTGTTCCTGCTTTATTCGGGCGGTGGGGTACCCTAATGGTTAAAGCGTTGGCTCGTCACGCCGAAGACCCGGGTTCGAATCCCCACATGGGTACAATGTGTGAAGCCCATTTCTGGTGTTCCCCGCCGTGATGTTGCTGGAATATTGCTAAAAGCGGCGTAAAACCAAACTCAGTCAGTCAGTCAGTCCTGCTTTATTCATCATTTTGTGGTTGTGTTGAACCTTGGTTATCTTGAAGTCAGTGTTCACGAATAGCGTCTGACCCTCTGACAAATCCGGCAGATCCGCCATCGGTCCGATAGAAGTCTAGAACCCGTCGGCCCCAGTGTCAGACTGTATATTTCACAATGACTTTCACTGAAGTTGTTATATGTGAGAAGTGACACTTGTTTGCCCTTTATAAATCTTATTATGTTTGTTAAAAATTTCAATGCCAGTTATAAGAAATGTTAAATATGAAAAGTGTGTTTTAATTTTACTCTATGGGTCCTGTGAATTTTGAATGGGTCAGACAGACATCTGAAACTTACAGGACCCAATGTCCTGTTACTTTGAAACACCATTCGTGAACACTGGAAGTATTTACATAGGTACCTTCAAGTTCGACACTATGGTGTTTGACTGTATATAATGGTGTGACAACTTAAACGAGGAAAAATCCAGAGTGATGAAAAGCCTTAAAAATAAAAAAACATTGTAAAACTTATGATCATGTGTATGGTGCTGATACCCAGAATGATAATCAGGAAATACATGAGCTTCAAACCCAAAGGTTTCCCTTCCACAACTCCGTACAACAAACTGTGGCACCTGAGACCTTCTGGCCACCCACGTTCCTCCTGCAAAGGACGAGCTTTCTCCCTAGTGAGTGCCTCAGTCCAGCTTAAGTCTGCTTGCCATAGTCACTGGCCAGGAGGGTCAAACTATTCTCCATATAAGGCACCACTCAGGATAAGTCAAACAATATAAGCACCTCTCCATCAGTCATCAATATGTGAACTGGGGCCTATTCATCCCTGGACTGACTGACTGACTAAGTTTAGTTTTACGCCGCTTTTAGCAATATTCCAGCAATATCCCGGCTGGGGACACCAGAAATGGGCTTAACACATTGTGCCCATGTGGGGAATCGAACCCGGGTCTTCGGCGTGACGAGGCAACGCTTTAACCACTAGGCTACCCCACCGCCCTTCATCCCTGGAACCCCAAATGTATATAGTTAGGTAAAGTCAGGTGCACTAGAGACGTCAAGGGTTATTTAGGAACCTCAATGGTCGCAACAGTGCCCTAAGATTCCTTATATTGTTAGAATGTCGATTTGAATGAATAGTCTCATGTTGGCTTAGCTCAATGGACTTTGCAGATCGAGTTTTCAGATGTTTTAGTTATCATTTTTTCTATATCTTCCAGAAAATACTTGACGGTAATACTGAATGATCATCAAACTATTTTTGACCCGTTTCCTGATCCAGAAAGTGTTCGTAACATTACGATCAATCGTAACTCTCTACTATATCGTTGGCTAACTACTGACATAGTGCTATGAACACTTTGTAGATGCGTCCCAGTAGATGTGTATGTAACATTACGATCAATCGTAACTCTCTACTATATCATTGGCTAACAAATGACGTAGTGCTATGAATGCCTTGTGGATACGTCCCAGTATATCTGTGGTCATCAGCGTGTATCTGCCGACAGGACTCACCATAGAGGGCCGGATCCCACTGATGACCCGGATGATGCTCTCCGTCCCGATGTCCAGAGACAGCTGCAACAAACTCTTCCCGTTCTGAAAGACAAATACTGACTTGTTACTCACTTCCCAGCAGACAGATGCATCACGGCTCCCATTCTAGCCCTGACTCCCAACAGGGTCCTATTCTATCCAAGACTCCCAACAGGGTCCCATTTTATCCTAGACTCCCAACAGGGTCCTATTCTATCCCTGACTCCCAACAGGGTCCTATTCTAGCCCAGACTCCCAACAGGGTCCTATTCTAGCCCTGACTCCCAACAGGGTCCCATTCTAGCCCTGACTCCCAACAGGGTCCTATTCTAGCCCTGACTATCCCAAGACTCCCAACAGGGTCCTATTCTAGCCCTGACTCCCAACAGGGTCCCATTCTAGCCCTGACTCCCCAGGGTCCTATTCTATCCCCAGACTCCCAACAACAGGGTGTGATTCTATCCCTGACTCCCAACAGGGTCCCAATTCTATCCCAGATACCCAACAGGGTGTGATGTTTGTCGAAGTTCCTCCACTCACCTTCTCAATGTCGACTCGACACCACTGGTTGATGAGTTTCCGTACATTCATGGCATCGTCTCCTTCTACAGCCTCCCAGATACCAGGCTGAAAGATGGGAGTGATATGAGCTGACATACTCCATAGAAGATGTTGTAAACAAGATAGTGATCAATGACAGGGATACATATTTTCAACTTATGTGTGAATATTTGGGATTCAACGAATAATGTTTTTGTTGTAAGTTCTAGCTGAACAATGAACTGTCCACTTGAGTACATAGTCTGTCACTGACGTTAGTGAGTGAGTATGGTTTTAGCAATATTCCAGCAATATCACTGCGGGGGACACCAGAAATGGGCTTCACATTGCACCCATGTGTGATTGAACCTGGAACTTTTGAACCACTAGGCTAAATTACTACCATTAGGCTACCCACTCGCCTTTGGCGTGAGTGAGTATTATGGTTTTAGCAATATTGCCAGCAATATCACTATATTGCGGGGGACATGTAGAAATGGAAGTATTTTTACACAAAACTACTTATACATTGCACCCATTCAGTGTGATAAGCTTTAATAACATTTTAACCATTAGGCTAAATTACTACCCATCTACTATCTCACTTTGAGTGAGGGTATTATATGTCTGAACCTGTAAATACCGGTAAAGCAATATTTCAGCAAATTATATGTAAAGCTGTCAGGACACTAGAAATGGGTTTCACACATTATACCCATGAGAGAATTGAACCCAGGCAGAGATGCCAACCCTGAATCTAAGGAAAACGGAGTCATGACTGGCTGAAAGCCAGGCCTGAGCACCAAAGGTGCGAGTTGGGCGATGAGCGCTTGGTCGGCTCTGCCATTTGTTTCACTTTGACATGCATTTGGAAAAACTTTGTGAATCTTCATCGTCAATAACACGGAATATACACAATCGACACCCAAAGGATCAAACGCTAAGCTTCTGAATGCTTTTACCAGTGTTCACTCAAATAAATCACCGGCGACTTATGAAATTGTATACCGCAAAAATAAATTCAGAATTTTTCTCAAAAATCAGATTTTTTTAAAGAGAAATCAGAGAGCAGATTTTGTATTTGAAAATCAGAGTAACTCCTCCAAAATCGGAGTGGTTGGCATCTCTGCCCAGGCCTTTGGGTTGACAAGCAAACACCAGGTTCCTTAAACTTGAAATGTTATATGCCTGTCAAGTCATGTCTCTGTTGTGATCCTTGTACGTACAATGGACATTAAGCATCAGTACTTGCATCTCAGTCACATAGCAACAAACTAGAAGTATGAGTAACCATGGTTACCTACCACATATTTCATGAAGACATCTTTAACAGACTTGGGGATGTCCGGACACACAGTCACCACTTCCAGGGGGTATTCCCCTACCTGCAGCACAACAAAACATGAGTGAGTGAGTGAGTGAGAGAGTGAGTTGGGTTCCCCTACCTGCAGCACAACAAAACATGAGTGAGTGAGCTGGGTTCCCCTACCTGCAGCACAACAAAACATGAGTGAGTGAGTGAGCTGGGTTCCCCTACCTGCAGCACAACAAAACATGAGTGAGTGAGTGAGTTAGCTGGGTTTTGTGCTGCTTCGCATTTACACATGATGTTGAAATAATGGAGAAGATATTTGTACACGACTATTTCATGCAGAAGCAGTAAACCTGGGTTCTACACGATGTGCAAATGTGCGTCCCATACACACAAATGTGGAAAATGGACACAGAAAAATATCCACTGTATCCCGATGAACGCACAATACTGCTCATTGTACCCACACCCCATCTATGACTTTGCTGGGTGTTTGGTTGTTTCTTTCACAGCATCATTTCATCCCTCACTCCACATGATCAAAGATTCATTCCAGACTCCAAAGAAATTATCAAAACATACAGGTCATTACATCGTTACTCCAAGACAGTCAAAATTGCTTGCAAGGACCCTTAAAGGTGAGGTGAGGTGAAATTGGGTTTTATGTCGTGCTTGAGAATATTTCGCTCATATGACGACGTGCATGTGTGTGTATATGTATGTGCGGCTGCTTGTACTAGCCCAGACTTAAGCTGGTTTTATAGTGCTAGCCCACTGAGATACTATGCCGCAGTGAAGCATGAATACCCCACTCAGACACAGTATACTGACTCCGAGCCGACCAGTCCTTGTTGTACCCGAGCGCCAGGCAGGGACCAACAAGTACCATATTTTAACGTCTTTTGGTATGATGCGGTTGGGGATCGAACCCAGCGACCTTCCACTCTAACCACTACACCACGGAGGTGGTAATAAGAAGGATTAGTGATTTAACCACTGTCCTAAGAAGGATTAGTGATTTAACCACTGTCCTTCAACTTTCCTGACAGATGCTCTACCCACTGGACCGCAGAGTCGCTATAGTAAAGTATGAGTGAGTGAATTAGTTTTACGCCGGTTTTAGCAATATTCCAGCAATATCACAGCGGGGGACACCAGAAATGGTCTTCACACATTGTACCCATGTGGGGAATGGAACCCGGGTCTTTGGCATGACAAGCAAACAGCTTTAACCACTAGACTACCCCACCGCAAGTCAGGTTTACCACCACTTGAATACAGCTTCTGTGTCATCATGCAGTGTCATGTTAATGTAGGAACATACCAGAACTTTCACTGTTAACAATGGCTGCCTTAAAAAAACGAGCAATCGCACCTTGCTGACTGACCAAGGATCATAAACAGTATCCTTGTAAGGCTAAGGGAGGTAAAGCTGCAAGGCCTGCCATGTCCTAATGTATGTCAAAACCATGTTTGGTCAGTTCTCAAATTCACACACAGCGATGGTTATCGACTGCAGTCTCCAGCTAAGGAATAATTTATGAAACAAATGATCATTATCACATCACATCAGGATATCCTTACCCTGGGCTCCAGATAATTTTTCAACATCAGGAGTAGGACGTACTCCTTTTTTTTCAATATAGGAGTACTGGAAAAACTTAAGAGTACATTTAGAGTACTGAATGGAGTATCAGTAATCTTGTGTTTCATTTCATATATGCACCACAACATTGCTATTCTTGTGTAAACAGGTCAATAAACAATAAATCAATTTTGTCAAACACATACGTCTGTAAATGATTCTAAGACCGTACACCACTGCTGTGGTGCGTATCTGCTACGTTTTCTAAATTATTTCTTAACGTATATCGTGCATATTTTTAATCCGTACATACGCCGATACGGCCCTTATCTGGAACCCTGGATGCTCATGTTGTTGATCACTGGATTGTCTGGTCCAGACTCGATTATTTACAGACCACCGCCATATAGCTGGAATATTGCCGGTGCAGCGTTAAACAACAAACCAACCTACCAATCTTATAGACTATATAGAATAAATATTAAAAGGAATCCAGTTCACCTCTAGAACAATAATTCCTCACACTAACACATCCCATCATATTTTAGGATATTCTGAGATGAGCAGGTTTTGCTTGACCTACCTTGTTGGAGAGGTAGACGTCAGCGTTACACCGAAGAAAGGCCTCCACCACATCAGGCTGGACGCTGCCAGTCTTCAGGTACTTCAACAAGGGTGTGTCTCCATTCTGTAAACACAATCAGTATGGGATCTTGACAGTCTGGAATAAATCTCTGTCCCTGGAGTCTGACTCTTGATTAGCGTCAAGTGATTGGGAGCTGGTGTCAAACTGATAAAAAACTGTTTTCCACACAATACATCCTGTTAATGTCAATGTTCTAAAAGTGTCATTTACAATATTTGATTCATGGATCTGGCCTCTAAGATATTTCTATCTCTTCCACACTGTGGGTCCTTTTCTTTTTTAATTAATTTACAGACTCAACACACCCCAACACCCAAATTTCAGCTTTGTAGGATTTCTATTTTAAAATGAAAAAGTCTGACATAACTTAAAGTTCCCGAACTTGTCTGGAGTTACTACCCCTTCAGTTAATTCTGCCCTGTCATGTAAACCACGGCAAGAGAGATTCCTTTACAGAAGTGAACTTTGATGGTAAATTAATAAATACATTGTGTACTAAAAATAATTTCATGGTCTAAATACTGTGATGTAAGATTAGAGAAACATATTCTCCTCTATTCTATGTCTAACTTGGGTCATCAGTAATAAAAATATTTTGAAAAAATACTTGTTTTTCATTTCCTCAGTTTTAGTAACAGAATTCATAACCAAAAAGATCTGATTAAGCCTGTGAAGTTTGCTCACCCCATCCTGTACATTGATCTGCGCTCCAATGTTGCGGAGGAGGTACACCATCTGTGCGGCACAGCGGTACTCCTTGGGCTTGGCCGTGACCCCATCTACTGCTGTGAAGAATATGTCCGGCGGCAACTGTGTTGACAGGAAATAACAGCATGTTCGTGAATCAGTGACAGAAGTGATTTGTTTGTTTGTTGTTTAATGCAGTACTCAGCAATATTCTGCTATATGAGTGAGTGAGTGAGTTTAGTTTTATGCCACACTCAGCAATATTCCAGCTATATGGCAGGCGGTCTGTAAATAATCGAGTTTGGACAGACAATCCACTGATCAACAACATGAGCATCGATCTGCGCAATTGGGAACCGATGACATGTGTCAACCAAGTCAGCGAGCCTGACCACCCTATCCTCTTAGTCGCCTCTTACGACAAGCATGGGTTACTGAAGGCCAATATTCTAACCCGGATCTTCACGGGTATCTGCTATATGATTACAGCCTTACTATACCTGTGAAGATCCAGGTTACAATTGTCTTCAGCAACTCATGCTTGTTAAAAGAGGCAGTAATGGGATGGGGTGATCGGGCTTGCAGACTTGGATGATGCATGTCATTGTCTGCCAAATGTATAGATTGATGCTCGTAATGTTGATCACTGGATTGTCTGGTCCAGACTCAATTATTTACAGACTGCTGCCATATAGCTGGAAAATTGCTGAGTGTGGCTTTAAACAACAATCAAACACTAACAGCCTGTAAATAATTTAATCCTGGCCAGACCATGACTGATGTCAACATCAATCCCTGCCATCGGAGTATGAGGCGAAGTTATAAACCAAGTCACACTGGCCATTGAACCAGGTCACCGATCCAGACCACCCCATCCAGTAGGTTGTCCATTATGACCTGATCAGGTTTTACTCAGGCCCACAAACAAAGAAAACTTTGCCACTGTGCAGAAAAATGCAGTTGAGTTAACAATTCAGATGTTTCAAATTGTCAAACTCAGTTTGAAATTTGAGTAAAATCCCACATTAACTTTCGTGGAAATAGCAACATAAACATAATACCTAAACATAATACTCGCTACTAAACAGTAAAACAGCAACTTTAAATCGCTAAAACTGTATAAAAAAATTGAAGAGCCTGCCACTTCGATTTTGCGCATGCGCACATGGAAGAGGAAGTCTCGACCGCATGTTGACATTTTCCAGGTTGGACAAAAGTTACATTCCCTTTTTAAGTATTTCTGTTGTGTTATTTGGCATTTATCATCATGATTCTTGTGTTCACACTTGTTTAGTTAACTTTCCATTCTTATGAAATGATTGACAGCAATTATTTCGACATATATACTTTTTCTACGCGAGGCGATTCACGGTTGCTTGGAAATTGGAAAGTAGCACAGATCGTAATGCGCATGCGCAGTAGAGGTCAAAATTCGCTGATATAAAAATGTTGCAGTTTCATAGTCTTTCATTGCCGTTTTTACTGTTTCAGTAGCGAGGTATTATCTTTATGTTGCTATTTCCACGATAAATGTGGGCTTTTATAAATGCGTTTTTCTGCACAGTGGGAAAGTTTTCTTTGGTAGGCCTGAGGATACTGGGGACATAATCATCTCCCTACGGGGGACTGCATGATGCATTAGCTGTAACATGTAAAACTCCTTAGAAATTTAAGTAGACAAAGAAGATAATTCCCAACAAAAAAAACCATTTCACTATTTGTTTGAATGTCACAGGTGGCAACAGACATTCAGCCTGAATTCATTAATGTTTATTCCCAGCTGGCGAGGTGGAACGTGACATTGTTCCACATCATGGTCGTCTAGACAACAGCATCATGCACTTACAGCCAGCTGAAAATTGGAGTTGATGTCGTAGCTGGCTGGGGAGATGAGGGACAACACTCGGTCGGGGTTCACGTCCCGAACAGCATCCTCGATAGACTCCTGAAACAAAATCACCATGTTACCTTTTGTGTCCATTTATAAATCAAATAGATTAACTAACATATCGTTAAAGTTTCATGTATATACTAGCATACCCAGCACAACAAGAATTTGTCGTTATGGATTTCAATGATTGGGATAAATTCCAGGCAGCCTTAAATGGAAGCGCTTTCTGTATTTCTATAGGCCAGCTGCTCCACACACCCATATGGCATGCATCAGTGCATTTCATTATGAACATGATAATAAAGGGGAGTAATCATGGTTTTACGCCGCTTTTAGCAAAAATGCAAGCAATATCATGGCAGGGACACCAGAAATGGGTTTCACACATTGTACTCTTATGGGGAATCGAACCCAGGTCGGGGCAGTGGGGTAGCCTAGTGGTTAAAGCATTCGCTCGTCATGCCGAAAGCCTGGGTTCAATTCCCCACATGGGTACAATGTGTGAAGTCCATTTCTGGTGTCCCCCATCGGGATGTTGCTGAAATATTACTAAAAGCGGCGTAAAACCAAACTTAGTCACTCAAACATCTGCATCATTAACATGCTCTTACATACTCATGACATCTGCATCATTAACATGCTCTTACATACTTTGTTTCATTTGATCATTAACATGCTCTTACATACTTTATTTCATTTCATGCTTGCTTTTCTTTAATTTCACCTTACATAAGATTATAAAATGTGAACCATGTACATGTTATATATGAAGATGAAGATTACCTGTAAATTGTTAATGGAACTTGACATCAACATGAATATCTTATCAATGTGTTCACGTGTATAGCTATGTCTTGTTTTCGTTTCTAACTTTTTCAACTTTCAAGATGAACATAAACATAAAAACAAGGTCTGGGTAGAAATAGCCTAGCTAGGCCAGAATCTCCCCCTTTTGACATAAGAACAAGGGTAGGAAAGAAGTAGCCTTTAAAGTTGATTCAATGGGTGGGGAAAGTTTGGCCTAGGACAAACTTTCCCGTGGAAGATTAAGAGAGAGAGAGGAGAGAGAGAGAGAGAGAGAGAAGGGAGGCCAAAGTTTCCTCATGGAAGGTTTAGCCCGGAGGAAAGTTTGGCCTGTTACACCGGTAGACAAATGATAGATGTTTTTACAGCATTGTTCTGCTCATCATGGTGATTTCAACTCAACAATTCCACGCACAGGTTTCAACCTGCATCAATATAATTTACTAATTATGTTAATTATTTGCACCTCGGATGTGAAACATGTAACAATGTCTACTAACAAGGACTGATAACCATTCTGTCACCATGCTCTACTTAAAGAAAGAAAATATTCAGACTACTACACATTACCACATCCATTATTCAGTCTAATCACATATTTGTGTCGGTCAAAATTGTTTTCAAAATTGTAAAAGAAATGTTGAAAAATTATTAGTGTTTCTTTTCCTCTGTTCTCATCTATATAAATATTCTGGCTCCAACTTGTCACCACATCCATTATTCAGTCTAATCACATATTTGTGTCGTCAAAAATATGATTTAAATTGCAAAAGAAATATAGGCAAAACATTAGCATTTCTTCTTCTCAGTCGTCCTGGTTATATAAATATGAAAATACTTTCATATGTCTTAAACACAATGTCTCATTTTATTTATCGAACATAAGGTTATCATCACCTCAGATTCTTATGCATTACCATAACCCTATGTTGAACATGTTCAAGATGAGCAGGCATCCTTGATCAATGGCTAATGAAGAGAGCTTCCAATCTTATCCCTGCATATACCATGGTTCAACAGGGCCTCTAGTTTGAGACAAGTCAAAATCTATGGGGCTGGTTGTTATTCCCTGATTGAGTTTGGTTTTACACCACTTTTAGCAATATTCCAGCAATATCACGCTGGGGACACTAGAAATGTACTTCACACATAGTACCCATGTGGGGAATCAAACCCGGGTATTTAGTGTGATGGCTGACTGACTGACTGAGTTTGGTTTTACGCCGCTTTTAGCAATATTCCAGCAATATCACGCTGGGGACACCAGAAATGGGCTTCACACATTGTACCCATGTGGGGAATCAAACCCGGGTCTTTAGTGTGATGGGGGCAGTGGGGTAGTCTAGTGGGTAAAGTGTTGGCTCGTCACGCCGAAGACCCAGGTTCGATTCCCCATTTGGGTACAAAGTGTGAAGCCCATTTCTGGTGTCCCCTGCCATGATGTTGCTGTAATATTGCTAAAAGCGGCGTAAAACTAAACTCACTCACTCACTTTAGTGTGATGAGGTGACCCTTTAACTAGTGGTCTTCCGATTAATTGAAATAATTGAAGATTGGTCGCAATGACTAAACGACCAAGCAATCGACCATGTTTTCTCATAATCGAACACAAACAATTTTGGACCACTTGTTTGCTTTAACAATATGTTTCACAAGGTTGGTTTTGTCTGTTACATTTCATAAGCACTACCAGCTCGTTCCAAGTCAGGATTGAGTTTATCTTAAAGATTCCAGGAAATGTATGTTCCTAACATACTAGTCATCCTTTAAAGATATAAAATTTGCAAATGCATTTTGTGCAATTTGCAAAAAACTCATGTTTTTTCTTTATTTTCCGTGCATTAACAAACATAACCAGGAAAATTTGACAAATGACGCTAACCAATTATTTTTGATGATTGATCGGTCGTAATGAACCAATCCTCAATTATGAGATTTTAACCAATTCCCAACACTAGCTTAACCCATTAGGCCAACCCACCACCCCCAACACGTCATTAAACTCAATAATGACAACTTCAAAATTCACATGAGTCTGTGACTAAAGACTGTGCGGAGTACAATGACGATACTCCTCACTGACTACGGTATTTGAGGGCTATAATTCTGAACCAGTTTTCAATGTTTAAATTTCACTAAAATGAAACTGAAAATGCAGAATATAAGTGACAGTTTAGAAAACAGCAAACATTTTGTCTTGTTCAAGCAGGACTAGCTACGACCTCTGAAGCATACAGTATTAAGGTTACACTTAAAGTGAGTGAGTGAGTTTGGTTTTATGCTGCTTTTAGCAATATTCCAGCAATATCACGACAGGGAACACCAGAAATTGGCTTTACACATTGTACCCATGTGGGGAATCGAACCCAGGTCTTCAGCATGACGAGCGGACGCTTTAACCATCAGCCTACCCCGCCCCTTACCCTCAAGAAACCTCCCACATTGCTATGGCTGTAATGAGATGTACAACCTTCTTTGTCCAAACATGCATACAACACAAAGCAATGTTGACTAACATTTACTCTAGAATTAAACAGGATCAATATTCATAACATGCACCATCTGGAAGCCAAGAATGACAGCACAATAGATGATCATCGGCTTTGTGATTTCAGTATTTCTGTTCAGTCCTACATTTAGTGGTTCACTCGACCAAGAGCACTTAGAAACACTGATATATTCATTATTTGAGACTGATACAATTACAATAAATAGAAGCAGAAATAATTACAGCTGTAACGATGCATCGAACTATTGATGGATTGCAATTGTTTAGTCTCTGATAGCAACCAATCGATGTTAGAAACCAAAAACTATCGGTGCATCGATGGTAATTAGAATGTGTGGCTATCGACAGTACTTGACTTCCGTTGATAGATGTGCAGAGCAAAATACAGGAAGTACTAGATTGGTTCCCTCTGATTTAGAATTGTCTGCCCCTGTTACCTCATAAACAAACATGACTGTTTACTTGATCTGAGTTTCAAGTTTCTTGTCAGTTATTAAAAGAGGTGAGATGAGGTGAAATTGGGTTTAACGCCGTGCTTGAGAATATTTCGCTCATATGACGACGTGCATGCGTGTGTATGTGTATGTGTGGCTGCTTGTACTAGCCCAGACTGAAGCTGGTTTTATAGTCCAACCCCACTGAGATACCATGCCGCAGTGAAGCATGAATACCCCACTCAGACACAAAAAACAGACTCCGAGCCAACCAGTCCTTGTTGTACCCATTAATGCCGAGAGCCAGGCAGGGACCAACAAGTACCATATTTGAACGTCTTTTGGTATGACGTGGTCGGGGATCGAACCCGCGACCTTCCGCTCTCCTATTAAAAGAGACAGAAACTATATCAACTTGTATTTTTTTCATATAAACTATACATTTGGGAAATGACTTCAAATGAGACAATTCAAGGAGAAAAAGATTATTGCAATAGTATTACAATAGTTAGTCTCAATAGACTACCACCATCACAATAGTTAGTCTCAATAGACTACCACCATCACAATAGTTAGTCTCAATAGACTACCACCATCACAATAGTTAGTCTCAATAGACTACCACCGTCACAATAGTTAGTCTCAATAGACTACCACCACCACCATCACAATAGTATGTTGTATAATAGACTATCGCTATTGCAATAGTTGTTTCTCAATAGTCACCCCAAGAAACAATGGTTATACAGATTTCTATATCTGGCCTTTGTATGGAAATAAAGTTTTGATAAATGATTGATTTGAAATACAGTAAACATGGATACTACCCCAAATATTAGAAGACAAACAAGAGTATTCTCTCCCACGCTTTCATCCAATCAATCTTGTATTTCCTTTAAACATTACATTACTGCATTTTAACAAGTCCATATGACGACATTCTGTTTGACACTATTTTGGTCTTGAAACATCGTATGAAGAAATATAGTGTTCCATCTCTGGTAAACATGAAATTCTGTGTAAGCCTTCAAAACCAGGATCTGCTTAAATAGTCTCTGATCTGTACGACAAACAGGTAGTATCGAAAGTACTAAAGTACAAAATCAAGGATACAATGGCATCAATGCTAAGATTTGACAAACTCATTTCCATTTCTAAGTTGAGATCTTAGCCATGTTGACATTTGGTTCATTAATACCTAAAGCTGCTTAAGTGATGTCTCAAATGATATTTTGTTTGTTCTAAGTGGGGAAATCCTCAAACCTCTCACTAATTATGTTGTAAAAATACGGGATTATTTCACAACCTATCTTGCTTGCTCCACATCAAGTATGGCTAGCCCAGCGGTCTAAAGTACTACAACTTACTATGCAGACTTAAGTCCCTTTGCAGGGCAAGGATAGGTGATTCCCAGTGGTGAGCTGAGGGAGGCATTTTTTCGCCGAAGACTCCAAACTAAATCAGATCCTGTTGTATTCAGCAGCCAAAAGAATCAGATTTGGGGTCATTTTTCGCAAATCGTGCAATCAGTTCTTTATTCTTCTGCACACAATTTTGGAATTTTGTATGGTTCCGTTTCATAGTTCAAATCCAGTTGACATGTTGGAGGTAGTTTAATCTTATATTGATCCACAGCTAAAATGGTTTATTGATGTGAATCGGACGCTGTTTGTGAAAAAATGCAAATATCCACTTTCGTTAAGCGATAATCAAGGTACATGTGATCCACAGCTAAAATGGTTTATTGATGTGAATCGGACACTGTTTGTGAAAAAATGCAAATATCGACTTTCGTTAAGCAATAATCAAGGTTCATGTAATACAATCTGAAACAAAAATGAAAATGAAAGCAGAATGTTTATATGATCATTTGAAAACTGTCCTTCTTCAACACAAATGTTTAAATAATAGTTTAAACAATTAAAATGAAAAATTCAAATAATGTTCACAAATGTGCAGTTTTTATACATTTAAAACCAGCTGTTGACTTGAATATTAAAATTCTGTAGTGTTTTTGATGAATTCAGCAGCAGACGGTCAAGTCCAAACGGTCACAACACACAAAAGTTCCACACAAAATGGGATTTCTGTACAGGGCACTTCTGCAAAACATTCTGTGACAGAATTGTGAAATATAGTGGGGACTGATACCTTGGGAGACAAAATGGAGAATTTGTTCAAAACATTGTAAACTATGGTCATAACAAACATGCTTATAGCGAACTGACAAACATAATAAACTGTTTACGGTCTGTACCACTGCTGTATATTTTAGCTGAAATCCTTATACCGAACTACGATTACAAGGAACTTAAACGTTTGTTTTAGGGCTGGGATGGGTCCACATTGTGTAAACAGGTTTAAAAAACAATAAAACAATACTTTTTCAGATAAATATGACTGTAAATGATTCTAAGACCGTACACCATTGCTGTGGTGTGTACCTGCTACGTTTTCTAAATTATTTCCAACCGTATCGTGCATATTTTGTATCCGTACATACGCTGATCAGCCCTGACCTAGAGTGCAGTTTTGTAAGTCAAGGTAAAACCCTGTATGCTGCAGTTTTCCTCATCACTAATAATATAAATAACCAAACACAGATAGAGTGAGTGAGTGAGTTTAGTTTTATGCCGCACTCAGCAATATTCCAGCTATATGGCGGCGGTCTGTAAATAATAGTCTGGACCAGACAATCCAGTGATCAAGAGCATGAGCATCGATCTGCGCAATTGGGTACCGATGACATGTGTCTAACCCAGACCTTCACGGGTAAAACACAGATAGAACTGCCATGTTTTTTTAAACAGCTTAAAACAAGAATGACAAGGAGGCGCTACTCCATAAAACAAAACACAACTACAACAATTTTTCTTCTACTCCTTATTTTTATCAAGTTATATAATTAACAAGGTCTGTATCTCATGATAAAATCAATGCTCCACATAATCTCAAACAGGCTGTGTTTATATTAGAGCAATAAAAACAACAGGGAGGAGTGACAGGCACATCAAGAGTAAAGCCTGATTCATCTCAGCTTCATCATCATCAGAAGAAGAGCAATGACCACCACTGATGGCCGACTCAGAGCAGTTCTTAGTAAACATATCCGATTACAGCACATTAAGAAAATAGGATTTCTCTTATCAACGCAACTTGCAAGGCAAAAATTTTTTAATGTTTTTCTGCCTCAACATGATGCGAGCAAGAAAATGTAGAAGACCAAATTAAAAATTGTATGTTAGGGATGATTATGAAGGATGTTAACTTAAAATAATATGTCTTTTAAAACAGTTTTATCAAACAAATGCAACTTTTTCATTTTTGAGTGCACAATTTATGGGCAGAAAAGTTAGATAGACATGTTCAAATGGTTGACAACAAAAATTTGACTTGCCTGATTTCTTTCTTTAACTTGGATGTTTTGTACCTCTAACTTAATCAAAGCTCAACTATACACCATGTTAATACATACAACGGTATAGATATGACCAAATGTTTTTAACTTCAAAGAAAAACTTAAACTCCGAAACAAATCTCGATCCTAGGTGAATTTTCAACTAAGTGGTTGAATTGTTTCAGCTCATCTATGCTTATACAATGCAGATAATGATCAAAGATAATATTTCACACCACACTTCTCTACAAATAAAAATAAATAATGCATTTCTCTCAATAATACTATCAGCCCTCGGGGAAGCTAACACATAATAAAAAAAATTTTTTTACATATTTAGATTACAATAGTAAATGAAAAAGGTTGAATGAATTAATGCAACGTTGCATTAAATCAACTCTCGGGCCCTCTACTGGCTGATTACTTTTAGCGAACCCCATAAGAGTCCTTTTGAGCGCTCTTTACGAATATCATATGCACAACTTGTGATTGAAATCAGTTCTGCAAACACTGACAACACCGTGTGCGACAGATTTCGATGTACGGACCAATTGTTTACTTTCCATACATGGCAAGTGTTCTCTGTTTGGAAGCTGTTTGCCTCGAAGTTTCAATTATCAATTTCAGGCAAGTCGTAAGGGATAATAAGTCTTTTATTGCAACAATAGGAAGCTAAAGTGAGTGCATATGCCCCAATAAACATAATATAGGTCACAATATTGTTGAAAATGTGTGAAATCATGCCTATAAGAGTAGCTCCAAAGATTGGCATATGTAGTTATTAGCAGCGTTCGGAATACCTGCCTGCCTGGCCACCCCGGATGGGTTATTTTCAACACAGACTGCCAGATTCTCAAATCCATCTGCCCGACCATTGGGTTAAAATTTAGACATGTATATGAAGATATTCATCATATTTCAGGATAATAAATCATTATCAATTCACTCGTAAAAAATAAAGCTAGTCAGTCAATTAGTATTTTTTGTGGGCAGGTAAGTTTTGGTCAGGGCTGGCAAGTTTTACATCTAACCAGCCCTGTGGTCTGGCTGACATTTTTGGGAGTTTCATACCCTGTTATTGGGGCTGTAATGAATACATTGAAGGCAAATATCATGTTTCATGAATACAGGGAAATGAATACAAAAATATATATATTCATGTAAACAATCAAGTGATCAACAATATGAGCATCGGTCTATGCAATTGGGATATGATGACATATGCCAACCAAGTCAGTAAGCCTGATCACCTGATCCGTCACCTCTTATGACAAGCATGGGTTGCTGAAGACCAATTCTCTTGGTGCCTAATATTTTGGTTGACAGCACTGTAAGGGGTCTTGGAAAACTGATACAAGTTATGCTATTGTATCTATGTATGGTTTGTATATATTCAATTTTATCTCACTTTGATAAACATGATAAATACTTGATGAGTTGAAGTACAAAACACTCTTTTCAAAATATATTTGTCAACAGTTCTACTCTTGTGGACATATAAATCAAATTAAACTCATGAAGAATAGTGGTGGTCTGATTAATTGAAATAATCGATGATTGGTTGCAGTGATTGATCATGTGTTCTCATAATCGAACACAAACAATTCTGGAACACTTGTTTGCATTAATAATATTTTTCACAAGGCTGGTTTTGTCTGTGTCATTAAATTTACATTTCATAAGCACTACAAGCTCATTCCATGTCATGATTGAACTTATCTTAAAGACTTCAAGAAATTTATGTTCCTAACATACTTAACTAGTCATCCATTAAAGATGTGACATTTACAAATGCATTTTGTGCAATTTGCAAAAAAACCCCAAAACCCAAAGACCTATATGTTGAAAATTTCATAAATGACGCTAACTAATTATTTTCGATGATTGATTGGCTGTAATGAACCTATCATCAGTTATGAGATTTTAACCAATTCCCAACATTAATGAAGAGATACAGTTAGATTCAACAATTACACAAGTGAACGCCCCTAGTATTTATTTAGAAACATAGAACGCCAACTAATGTATCCACAATCAAAACATACAGAGCAGCAGATGTTTAAACACACATCAACCGCCACATTTAATAGTCCGAAAAGTCCACTATGAAGCTTCAGAATGTATTCCTTGCATTTAAGCCAAACCAGTAACCCGAATCTAGTTTGTGATTGTTGAGAATAATGTAAACTTGGTGCTATCACTGCTATGAAGGTTGGAGCAAAAAGCGGACCCTCAGGAACATGGTAAGCGGAAGTTGTATGTGTATGGAATGAGGTGAAATAAGCATCCCAGCTTGTTGACATGTGATCGTCCAGCTACAATAAATATGACATTTAGAGAAACAAATATATACGTATCTATTGTCTGTCAACTTCACTTCAATATTGCTGTGAATGAAGTGGGAAGTCATAAATTATCGGTAACTCACTAACTGTCTTAAACGATTAGGACCCATACCATTTTGATACTGATTTTCAGGATCAAGTTAGGGTCGGCTTATCTATGAGATCGTCTTATCTACGGAAATATACAGGAACTAGTTCAACCCTGAGCTCAAACAAACAACAAATGTGATATTAGTTGTTGACAGTTACAGAAATCACCTGCAGGTAACCATGATGCTGATATTACCCAGGATTAGCAACAACAACATTTTGTTGGCGAGATATTTGTCTAGCATAACCATGATGGTAGGAGAGAATAAATCTTTTGTTTCAAACTGAATGTTGATGTATGAGAACAGAAAACTAATACAGTCAAAGATATTTTCCTGAGTATCAGTCATGTAAATAACAATCAATCCAAACAGCCAAACTCATAACTATAATTTCATAAATAATTATACCATGTAACACAACCACATCTGCCATTGTCTGCTAGGAAACATGGCAATAGAAACAGGTAATGAAACAGTCTCCAATATCATAGTATTCATATTCCTGAACGTGTCAAACATTTTGAAGCTATTTTCTTGTGATCAGCTGTAACCTAACCTACGTGCTTTGCCGTGAGAGGGGGGTCAACTGTTTCGTCTCGAAACAAGGACTGGTCCATCACGGAGCAAATTCTACTTTATCTCAAAGCAAGTGGGGAAGCTGTTTCGTCGTGGAATTGACATTTTCTTAAAAGTTTGGGGTTTTTTGGTGGCCATCTTGGATTTAGCCTCGTCCTGAGTTTGAGCTACCAACTTGAGATATCCATCATCCTTTTTTATATATAGAGACATAATGGAATATAAAAAGCACTAAAACTTTTGGTCCCTCTGAATGGTACCAATATGTCAATTTTCAGCTCCTGGCTCAAGGCTAAATGCATCAACTTCGAGAGGAGACAACTTGCCCCTCTAAATTTTCACTAGACTACATTGGTCTATCCTAGCTATACCTGGTATATTGAAACAATGGTTTTATACCACTTTTAGCAATATTCCAGCAATATCACGGCGGGGGACACCAGAAATTGGCTTCACATATGTACCACTGACTGAGTTTGGTTTTATACCACTTTTAGCAATATTCCAGCATATATCACTGACTGCGGCAATATTCCAGCAATATCACGGGGGGGACACCAGAAATGGGCTTCACACATTGTACCCATGTGGGGATTCGAACCCGGGTCTTCGGCATGACGAGCCAACGCTTTAACCACTAGGCTACCCCACCGCCCCCACATATGTACCATGTGGGGTATCGAACCGGGTCTTTGGTGTGACGAACTAATGCACTAACCACCTGGCTACCCCACAGCCCAGTATGTTGATACAACCCAAAAGACAAGCAATATAATGACTGATTCTTTGGGCTGTTATGATTCAATCATGTATTCAGTGAATCAAACCATATCCCTTCATGAAACCATTACCTTTTTCCTGATCACTGGAATTAATATTCAAGACTTTGTGAAAAGGAGTGTGTTTACTTGAAGTTTATCAATCAAATCTATGTATGCAAAATGGAATAATGCAAGTCAGACAGTTTAACAGTCAACAGCCTTATCAATTGAATATGAAACTAAGATGGTCAGTATGGTTACTGGTCATTGTCATGATAAATGAACACAGTCCACATGGTTAACTCAAAACATGAATATCTTTTATAATTTTTTGGTTATTATTCCACTGAATACAATGAATAATACATCAACCTCTGTTTTGTTATTGTATCTGTTAACCAATATTCGTACTCATTACTCAAGTATCATATTCACCTCACAGTAGATTTGTTGCGACAGTACTGATCAAATCAATGAATATTTAGCATTGGGGTAGCCTAGTAGTTAAAGCATTCGCTTGTAATGCTGAAGGCCCGGGTTTGATTCCCCACATGGATACAATGTGTGAAGCCCATTTCTGTTGTCCCCTGCCGTTATATTGCTGGAATATTGCTAAAAACGTTGTAAAACTCACTTTAAACCTAGGTACAGTACGGATCATGCAGATTACCCAGCTGACCCTTAACACTGGTTAAGTGTATTCCTTATATAGACATAAGTGTGCAGTAGTGTATTAATGTAAATCCTTTTTAACTTTGACACATCTGTGTTTGACTGTATTTTGAATGCCATGGGCACCGGTGCCAACCCAACACATATCCCTCACAACCTAGCTTGTCTTGGTATCCAATTATTAAAAAACGCCTGTGTAATATCAACATACACAGGTGGCACAAGTAAATCAGACCAGGATAATATATCATACTTGAATGTCAGGTTTTAGATCATGAAAATATTAATAAATATTGGTATTAGAAATAACACATAACAGGACTTGGTTACCAGTATCACAAAGGGGATGGCACTGCAGCCTTGAGCTTCCTAGTACTGTTGGAAATAGAAAAAAACTGTATTTTCTCATTTATCTCTACAATTTATGTAGTTGATAAGTGAAAGTGTGAAATATCTGTTTAACTAAGTTCGGCCTAACTACAGTCTCGGTGGTAGAGAGATCGGAAACGGAGATAAAGGACTTTACTGAGGGGAAATTAGTGCAGAAATGAGCAATGCGGGTTTTTTCTAAGTCCAAAAAGACCCATTTGGAACAGACCACGGCTTTATGCAAATTTGTGTGCGACAATATTGTATTACAAAGGACACTTATTAAATGCCCAATTTGAAATTAGACGTAAATTCATTATAAACGATAGCTTACGTAAAAAATAATAACTTTTATGCGGAAACTATTAAGGATGTAGCTACCATGCAGTCTCACTGTCACTATAAAAAGAAACAGATAGTATGCGGAAACTATTAAGGATGTAGCTACCATGCAGTCTCACTGTCACTATAAAAAGAAACAGATAGGAGGGGCCGTCTCAAAAGCAAAACCTGGGGTCGGGCTTGGGGATAGAGATATCAGCTAAGATAAGATAATCCTTTAGGGCAATTATACTGGGGAGGTACACGGCACGTCATAACAATTTACAAATAATATCCAGTCCTGTTGATCTTCGGGTGGTCATGCCACCTATATACTACGATGTGTTTCTATGGTTTTTGGGCATCATACTCTTTTACATATCACAACATAAACTATATGAAATTATATGAAAGAAAGACACGTAAGATGTTAATCAATAGATGAGACATAGTCAACACACATGAAAAAGCACAAAATATCTTTGAGATGACCCCTTGTGCCCGTAGGCAGCACGTGCATTTCATGCCAGGTGAGTTGACGGTCCGTCGTCATACCTGGCTGAGCGACCTAATTGCCATCTACAGTCTGATCTATTGTTTTCAGCAGCTATTCATATTTTTTCTAAGTTTTGCCCGATTTTGCGAGTAAACATGCTTTTCTGGATATCGTATTACGCATCCCACTGAACGCCCAGTTAGGCCGAAGTGGGTTATTTCGACATATGCTATTTGCAATTGTGTAAATTTTAGGGATACAGAGTAACAGCCTAAAAACAGTTTTTTTCTATTTTCGACAGTACTTTAGTTACTGACTGCGCTATTGTGGTTTGAAGTTACATTTATCAATCTGTCTTACAAATAAGGATATTTCTATAAATTGAATTGACATGCTGAATTAATGTTTAATTACTTTTATTAGGTTTGTTGTTTAACGCCGCATCCAGCAATATTACAGCTATATGGCAGCAATCTGTAAATAATCAAGTCTGGACCAGACAATCCAGTGATCAACAGCATAAGCATCAATCTGTGCATATATATATAATTATCTTCCATCTGCCATAAACATAACAGTATACAGTTATGATTCAAAGAAATCACTGATTAATCTTACTAAATCTTGTTATTAGGGGTTTTATATATTATGCTATGGTATATGGTGGCACGTGGTCCTGTGCTCAAAGCTCAGGTCACAAATCAATGAAGTTAAGCAGCGTCGAGCTCGGAGAGTCCTTGGATGGGTGACCGTGTTTGGCAGCTTGACTCCTGAGAGTTTCTAGGACTTGAGTCCTGCCCCACAACAAAGCACATGTGACACATGTGGTCTCACATTAGGCAAGTTCAAAATTTGTCCATGTTCACCCAGCAGGAAAATGGGTACCCGGTGGAAAAAAGTCATATGACTATAACCTTCTAGCGCCTAACAGGCAGCTTGGGTTATCCGGGGTGATAATGTGCTGTGCCTTGATTGTTAGCACTATGAGCATACCTAGTGTGGAGTTTGGCGCTATATAAATGGACACATTATTATTGTTATTATTATATTCATCAACAAACATTCAGCTCCAGATAACAAGGTTAACACTCAATAATGATGTTAAAATAATACATTAAACTTCTATTAGTCGCATACTGAGTACCGTAACAGTCTGTATACGTTCGTTTTGGATCGGAAATGCCCCGTTTTGTCCGCGAACAACCGATTTACGTCAATACCATCTGAGTTGTTCTTAGAATGCACTCGATCTACGAAGGAACAGAAAAAACCAAATTCCCAGATTATTAGACTACCAGGAATCATTCAAAATGACGGAATCGGGTCAGTCTGTGCTTAAACTCGTCTCTTAAAACGTTACAAACCGACCGATTTCCGATCCATCTGACAAATAAAAAGATTCCAAATGACAGTTCTGTACCTCCATTGAGAAAAAGTGATCTGAATAGATCCCAGCCGACGATTTTAGGAGTCTAATCGCATCTTTCTCGTCAAGCTCCGACATCAACATCAGGGTGGTAGCGACCTCTGTCGGTGAGCACCTGCTGAAGCGAGGGATCGATCCTTGAACAAAATAGAAAGGGAGAAATCATTGCAGTGCATTTGTCAGCTTAATCCACAGAAAACAATGAGGTTTAGCCATTGTGAAACAACGCCAATAGGTATATGATAAAAAAGATCTAAGAATTTAAGTAATGTTTTATCAGTTACTATATTATATACCATTTTGTCTATTTAATTTCTGTAAATATTAAATTTACAGCTTCAAGGCATAGAGTGTTGTACAACGGGCATGCAAAAAGTACATATGGTAGTAAAATATTTACACACAACTTCTCGATGAAAAAAACGTCATATTGTAAATGAAACTTTATAAATATATTAGCATTAAACAGAAACCTATAATTTCCTTTCCATTGTAGACAGGAACTAACGTTCGGACACCAAGACGTCTATCTCCCAGACCCAGTCTGTTATACTGACCCTGACACAAATACACACAATAGAGCCAACCAAAATCTGGAATGTGTAGCAAGTCCAGATTATTGCAGTTTTGGGACAAATGAAAGTTTCTGTATATGAAGTAAACATTACGAATATATTTTAGGAAATTTATTCCCCTGAAAAATATGTGTATTTCATAGGCGAGACTTTAATCTATCCTAGATAGAAGCAATAAAAATAAAATAAAATAAAAAAAAAAAAAAAATAAAAAAAAAAAAAAAAAAAAAAAATAAAAAAAAATAAAAAATAAAAAAAAAAATAAAAAAAAAATAAAAAAAAAAAAATAAATAACATAAACCTTCCCCAGCTTTGAAATTAATTATTGTTTTGTGCTCCATTTCGTTAGATGTTTTAGTTTGAAGACATATTTTTAAATAAACTATTTTGTATTTCAGAGACTTTAAGTTAACGTAGGTATATGCGCTGTGAGAAATTGACACAATGTCTCCATGTAATATTGTATAACTGTGACCTTGGTCAACATATCAAATTCTCATGGCAGAGTACAAGAAAAAGGTGTCCGTTTGACAAGAATAAAAATTTCCAAGATAGCAAAACGGATAGAGTTGAGTACTTCTCACTATTGAGATACTATGGAAATACTGACCATCCAAGTAGCCAACCGATAAAAAAACAGAGATGTTTCTTGATGTCCGTCAATTGAGGATCCAGAGAGGTTGAATTACGAAGGGAATGGAGGAGGGGGAGGGGGTTGGGGAGGGAAGAGTACGTCTTATACTTCAGACAAATGATGCCTAAAGGCGTCCTATGTCAATGTGCATCTTTTTTTCTTCAAAGTGCTTGATTCAGCCCCTCCGTATTGAGACATTAAACAAAGCGCCATATATCTGTCTCCACTCGACACGTGTATGGGGAGACACAGACGGACAGGACAGTGGGCGTGAAAACACCAACAGCTGTCCGTCGACATCGATTCCACTAAACAATGCCAATTTTGCACTCACGTGGCAGACATCCATCACCGCTAATCCATTTACTGCATACGCTGTATGGAGGACTGGTCATCCGGTCAGAGACCGCTATGGGCTTAAGAGATAGTGGCTGAATAGTGTTTTACGCCGCTGATGAAAAGGTGCGTATATGACTAACATCAACCTTGGTCCCAAACCAGGTTCCTGGGTTATATTTCCATTTGTGAGATCGATTGTTCCAGTCATAAACTGATTTGTTCATTTGTCACAGTCATATATACAGTAGGTGGATTGATACTACATGTATACTAATGCTAACTTATCGATATCATCATCATCATCATCATCATCATCATCATCATCATCATCATAACACATTTGTAATGCGCTGGTAGCCATGCAGTCCAGGAAGTTTTGTTCCAGGCCACTGGTGCTGCATAGGCAAAGGATCGGTTTCCATACTGCACTGTTCTTGTTTTAGAGACAAGCAGATTTTTATCTTGGGAACGGAGCGAAAGAGAAGACTTGTACAGAGAAAGAAGACTGGATAAATATGTCGGGGCAGTTCCAGACAGACAGCGGAAGACAAGGCAGAGGGGTTTAAACTGAATTCTGAAATCCACAGGCAACCGGTGTAGAAAGTATAGAATAGGAGTGATATGATATGATATGATATGATATGATATGATATGATATGATATGATAGCCAAAGTTATAGCTTCCGTGTAGTACTGTTATAGCACGGGTCGACTGATAACCATACCATATCAATATCTAACTGATATACATTGCAGGTAGATTGATACTAATGCTAACTTATCGATACTGGCCAAAGTTACAGCTTCCGCGTCGTACTGTTATCACACGGGTCGACTGATAACCATACCATATCAATATTTAAGTGATATACATTGCAGGTAGATTGATACTAATGCTAACTTATCGATACTGGCCAAAGTTACAGCTTCCGCGTCCTACTGTTATCACACGGGTCGACTGATAACCATACCATATCAATGGTGAACTGATATAGGTGGATTGATATTCCCGGTGGACTGATATTCAACTTATGGCACTGGTGAACTGAATGTCATACAATAACGTCAGTGAACTGATAAAGGTAGACTGATGCTACTGCCATATCCCCGGGGGACTGATATTTAACTTATGGCACTAGTGAACTGATCCATGAATGTCATACAATAACGTCAGTGAACTGATAAAGGTAGACTGATACTACTGCCATACCCCCGGGGACTGATATTCAACGTATGACGCTAGTGGACTGTTTACCACACGATTATGTCAGTGAAGTGATCATGTCGGCTGTTTGTACCCAACGCTATCGTATCAGTGACTCATGCAGTGATCCACGTGGATTGCCATACAGCATCGATTAACGTTAACGGGAAACACACACATCATAGGCTTGGGTTTGTAGCGTTGTAACAAGTGTACATGTCCCTTGATAGAATTATCATCCCGCTTTTGTATACTGAGGAAAAAAAGAAAACAAAACCCTCTAATGAAAGTTTCCATTAGCATTGATTCAGACTCTTTATTCTTCGCATCTAGCCTTGTTAAGTGACCGAGACAAGAGAAGTGCAGATATTCCACTGCAGCGGTGTACGACATGACCTTTCAGATAACACTTCCCGAATGCTACATTCCCCCGATTTTGACTCTTAAGTCATTCAGCGCCAGAACGTGGTATTCTATAGGTTGCGTCATTGTATCAATGTAATACTGTTCAACTGTTCAAACAGGGGCGTAGGAATATGGGGCTGGGGATTAGCCCTCCCCTATTTTCAAGACGAAACCATATCTACCTTACCATAACTACAATTTCATTTTGATTTTCAATACTTTTCATAAATTAGCTCCCCCGCTCTGAAAACCGTTCCTACGCCCCTGTCAAAGCAGCTTAAATCCCGTCACACTCACACATGATACTATATTTTATTCTTGTGTGGATCCAGAGTAAATTTGAATGTAGGTATGTATTAAATCTTTACAAGTCGGAGAGAGTGATAAATATATACTCTCCCAAAAAAGAAACGCATCATGAAAATAGCAATTTCATGTAGCAATGAATGAAAACGTGATTCATCTGACAAAAGGTTTTGCCATCCGTAAAATACCCGTATTTAACAGCATGATTTTCAATTTCGGCGTGTAGTGTCACAGAATACACAATTCACATGCAATGCACGTGAAAGTTGGCGATCAGATAGTCTCAATGATGGGTATAAAAGGTTGATCGCTGTCTGTCGATTATTCACTGTATTTGGAATATTATTGACGAACGCAAAATGCCACGTCTAAGTGAAGCCGACCGTCATATCGCCATTGGTTTGCTTGAAGCTGGCCAGTCTCAACGTGCAGTTGCCCGACGCATGAATGTTCACCAAAGCACCATTTCACGGCTCTGGGAGAGATATCGCCGGCAGAATGCGGTAGCAGATGCCCCTCGTAGTGGGCGACCTCGAGCGACCACTGCGGCGCAGGATCGCTACATCCGGGTACATCACCTGCGTCATCGAACAGCTACGGCGACCAGTACCGCTCGACAAATACCCGGATTGAGGAGGCTTTCTGCACAGACCGTCAGGAACAGGTTGAGAGAGGCTGGTTTACGTGCCAGAAGACCTTATTTTGGCCCTGTGCTTCGACAACAACATCGTCTACATCGAGTTCAATGGTGCACCAACGTTCAGGCCTGGAATCTACCGAATTGTCGTAGAATCTGGTTCAGTGATGAATCACGATATCTACTGGAACGACGCGATGGAAAAATGCGGGTGTACAGACGTCGACGTGAACGTTTCGCCGACGCTTGCGTTCCCCAGGTGGACAGATTCGGCCGGGGCAGTGTTATGATGTAGGGAGCGATCATCTGCCGTAGGAGAAGTGATTTGGTGATGATCCAGGGCAACCTGACAGCTCAACGGTACTGTGACGAAATCCTACGCCCACACCTCCTTCCAATCATTGATCGCCAGAGGGAGTTGTTTCAATAGGAAAATGCCAGGCCCCACACAGCACGTCACACTAGAGACTTCCTCCAGAACCACAACATCAATGTGCTCCCCTGGCCCTCAAGATCACCGGACTTAAACCCGATCGAACATCTGTGGGGTGCCCTGGACAGACGGGTGCGACGCCTTAACCCTCAGCCCCAGACACTTCAGCAACTCGCACAGGCACTACAGGCAGAGTGGGCTGCGATTGGGCAACACGAGATTCTGAGAGGCGATGCCGTGCAGTTCTGGGTGCCCACGGTGGTCACACGAGGTATTGACTTCAGTGCCACCACACGTCTCCATGTGACACTCAAACTGACTTTCCTCGAGTTGGTGCAAAAGACGGATAAGTCTGCATTCCCAGTGTGCAATTTCGCTATATTTCATTGACTCATAAAGCCTACAAGATGTTTCAAAATAAACATAAAGATACAGTTGAAATTCCTATGTGCGTTTCTTTTTTGGGAGAGTATATATATATAAAATGACCCCATGTCACTAGACAGTCGGGCCAGTGTCGACTGTGGGGATTTACTGTCCCGTCTGGATTTTCACTAACCACTGGCTTGAGTGTGTGCGCGTGCGTGCGTGCGTGCGTGCGTGC